GWTTYMRGMATTRGKYMARRATAGATTCTACGGTGATAAGTTTGAGTATTTTCATGACCTGTTTACTGCATAAAGTATAGATATTATAGGGAGAAATTACATATTAATCGGTTCTAGGAGTTTAAGAGTTGCACTGTTAGTGTTCATAATCCAAAGTTGAGTATCATTTCATTTCACAGGCAGCAGATGACACACCTACCTCACGCACAAGGTACAGTGTAATTTAAAAAGGTTACATGTGGTAGTCATAAAGAGAGCCTGAACGAGGGCTTAACACAATGCTTTGCACAATTCATGTAATGCAATCACAGGAGCTGCAGATATGTAAACTTAACAAGACAGGACCAAGTTATTGCTTTGTTCTTATTCTTAACTAGTATATCTATCAACAGCAGAGTGTTGGCACACGTCATCTTTGAAAGCCAACAGATGCGTTCCTATCGAGAAGTGGAAACTGCACCAGTTCAGCCCTCCTGGCTTGTGGATTCATCAATTACAATGGTGAGTACCAGAAAAATAACTTACATGTAACTCACTAGCATCATTCGTATTTTTCTCGACCTCTAAATACAGGCAACGTGCAAATTTGACCCCTGAGTTAACAAGCTTGAGCTTAACAGTCTTCTAAAATTGCTCAAACTGCAACTTTAAAAGCATGGCAGATTGATGAGGATTAAATTTTCTAAAATAGTTTTCATATGCATTTTTTTTTTTCAAAAAAACTAACTGAAGGTTAGTAGTGGCAATTCTTCATTAACCCTTTCATTCCCAAGATGTAGACATAGGTTCTCTAGAATGTTGGCCTTGTTTCTTTTTCTTATACTCAAATAAATCTGAGAATTTAGTATGGAATTAAACAAAGTCCCAATGATGATATGCTATTTTTCTCATATCTCTTCCTCCCTTTGTTGAAAGATGTATTGATATTGTAAAGACAAATACACTCTTAGGAGTGTATTATGTGCCCTTTACGTTACTATATGTGTGAAAATTACATTCTAAAGGTTACATTTTCAAGCATTAAAATGTCAAACATCACCTATGAGAATAATAGCATACTTAAAATGCAATTAAGTCTTATAAGGCTTCTAGTATTTTTTTGAAGTATGGCACAAGATCCAACCATATACATGTAGTGTGGGTCACTCAGCATGTACACTTGTTGAAAAATATAGCTTATTGGCAATAGAAATTCTTAGCATTAATGATGTCAACTTAAGTCTGAACAGATCAAATTAATGCTGCCACATGCTTCTCTGTATCAAAATTTAGTTCTTTCCTTGACTTAATACACAGGGAGCTGAAGAACTTTGAAAGTTCAAGATCCCAACATTGCAAGAACATTTGTGTTAATTGTTGAAGAATTAGTTCCAATGTTAATTAGTTTCGACACAGCATATGTAGATTCTGTTAAAAAAGCTACAAAACCTAGAATGTATGTTTCGTAAATCCATAACTCCAGAATAATTAATTCTGCTTTGCACTCAATTTTGGTTTACAACATCATTGCCCAAAGTAGTAAACACAAAACACTATGACCTAACTCATTTTAATTACATGTAGAACCAGAGTTGAAAAAATAGTTTTTGTAAAACTTCAAATGTATATGTATTAGACATGAATATTTCCCAATCATTACCATATATTTCAAAGAGAGTGCAAACTATTTTAATAATTTGGATATATCAACAAAGTTGAAATGGTAAATTGGCCACCGTAATGATTACAAAAGCTGACGTTTGAAGCGTTAGCCCTTCGTCGGAGCGAAGGGCTAACGCTCGACGAAGGGCTCCGACGAAGGGCTGACGCTCGAAACGTCAGCTTTTGTAATCATTACGGTGGCCAATTTACCATTTCAACTTTGTTGATATATCCAAATTATT